ATTTAATGAGGCTAGATGATACATGGCATTAAACTTGGCGGTTCAAAGCCTGGAATATGGATGTTTTCCAGACTTTTAACTCTGCCACTTACCAGATGTGTGAGCTGAGCAAGTAAAAGACCATTTTATGCCCATCAAAGAGATAGTCAAAGGATGCAAGAGGCCAAAGAAGGAGGTGCTTTCTCAAATGGAGTGCTTAGAACAAGACAGGGCTTACCTGGGTAAGACTGATAAGGAGAGGGCTACTTTAGGAGGTTGCACAGAAATCGGGTTGGCTCCAGGTGGCAGGGAGGATGCATGTTTATCCCCCATAAATTGCTGCCTCCTGCCTGTCCCAGTGTGAGTGTTTGGGCTGTAAGGAACAGAGAAACCAAGTGGAGTTGGTTTAACAACATGTATTAGCTCAGGAAAGGGATATCCAAGGCCTTGTGTGTCTGAAGCTAGTCCACAAGCATGATGATGTCATCAAGGACCCAGAATCTTTTAGCTTCTCTGCCCTATTCTCCATCATGCAAACCTGTCTTAAGGCCAGCTGAGGTTCCGTGTAAATTAGGAGAGTATGCTGGCATCCTGCAGTCCTCCCCCACTCCATTAAGCGGTATGTGGATTGAACCAGGGCCTTGCATGTGTACTCTACCACTAAGCTACATCTCTAGCTCTTTTAAAAAACATTTATATTGAGATATGGTCTCACTAAGTTGCATAGGCTACCTTTAAACTTGTCATCCTCCTACCCAAGCCTTCAAAGTAGTTGGGGATACAGGCATGTGCCACCACATCTGCCTGGAGCTCTTTCTTAAAGCAGATAAAGTTTATATTACCATTGACTCTAGTGAGCTTCCCCCAAATATCTTGTGCTGTAATGAGGTTTGGCTTTTGAGAGATCAGTGTTCTTGGGTAGAAATATTAGCTGTTTTAAGTAGAAAGGGTAGTGCACTAGAGGATGTCAGGCATCCCACAGAATCATTGGCAGAGCTGGAGAAAAGAACTTGAGGCTAAGCTTTGAGGAAAAATGCCCCAAACCACACTGCAGGCTTGGCCAGAGGAACTAACCCCCGTTCCTCCCTTGCTTCCCTGGAACACCAGGTGCTAGGAGTCTGCCTTTGCTTCAACTACTGCTGCTGGCAGCCCAGTGCTGCTTCTCCTTCAGGATCTCCACCCTGCAATCACCATACCCAAAGCTGGATGCCTCTGCTACCAAAGCTTATTATTTCTTGCTGATTTATGCCATCCTTGTCACTAGAATGCAGTCCTCTCTGCCTCAGGCCTAGTTTGCTCCTATGTGTCCTCCAGAACTCATTCCAATTAAAGTTCTCTTCTACTCTTGCAGTAGAAGAGAGATCATTATCTCTCTTCTACTGCAAGAGAAGAGATCATTATCTCTTTTTTTCATCCTATTTATCACATTGTATTTCAACTATGACTTCTTTTATTATTTCACTATTACTTCTCTCCCTCTAGATCATACACATGATGTGACCATGAACTCTGATTGCCTCCTCTGCAGCCATTAACACAGTAACTAGCACTTAAGTGCTTAATATGTTTTTATTGAATGAATGAGCATTAAGGAAACCCCATTAGAGGCATTTACAAAATCTCTCTTGGATCAAATGATGTGTTAATACCTTATACCTTTAAACTACATCACACCACATACTATGTAGTATATCTTACATCCTTAGGGGTTTGCAGATTTCAATCACCCCAACTTTTTGTCAGACCATAATATCCCTGTGCATCTTACTATGCCTACTTCTCCCCTATGAAGATCTGTCCCACAGAAAAATGTTGCCATTGACAAGAGCATGTGGCAGGCTTTGGGTCAGGATAGAAACCTGAATCTGGAGTACCAATGCCAGAGGAGGGTAGTGGTAAGATTGTTCCTATACAAAGCTTCCCTCTAATCATGATGTCACTGTGGCATTCCTCCCCAACCTTGCCAAAATTCTCTTAAGAACCTTCATTTTAGGTTTTGTTTGTTTGTTTGTTTGTTTGCTTTTTGCCTATGGAGTGACTTCCAGAGTAAGGTCTTTAAAAATATTTGGGAGGGCTTTCCTATTTAAGGGGAGCTCTTTATAAAACAGGCTGCCACACTCCAAGGAAACTGGGAAGAGAGAGCTGTGGAGAAGTGTTTTCCTTCCATGATTCAAAGGAAGTGCTAGAGTCACTTGGTTCATTTATCATTGTTTTCGGTGCACTAGAAACTACTTTTATCCCCATCCTTGAGCACATCCTCCAACACAATTTGGAGTTTATATTGGAAGATAAAGAGTAAGTAAAATATCACAGAAACTCACCCATGGTCATAATACCTATGATTTATTGAGTGCCTAACAGCTGTAATTTACTGAGCATATACTTTGCATATATTAGCTCAGTTAATCTTCCCAACTATCTATTCATATTCTTATTTTAGATAATAATCTAAAGCACAATCTAAGGAACAATCTACCTTATGGAGAACATAACAGTAAGCAGCTCAGACTAGAGTTTTGACTTGAGATGATTTTTAGGCATTCCATTTTATAAAAGTATAGGATTTCCTGGTAGAGAACGGTCACTGAGGCCAGAGTTTGTAGGTCTGGAGCTGGACTCTGACTTATTCCAATTCTGCCTCACAATCACTGTGTGCCCTTAGGCAAGTCCTCTCACCTTTTAGGTCTTTGGTTTCCTCATCTGTAAAATGGGGGAAACGATCACTTCCATACATGATGGTTAATTTGAGGTATCAACTTGACTGGACTACTCAGATAGCTGGTAGCATATTATTTCTGGGCATGTCTGTGAGGGGGTTTCTAAAATGATGCAGTTTGTATCAGTGGCCTTCACCTAAATTGGTTAAAAACCTAGATAAAACAGAAAGGCAGAAGAAAGGTGAATTTGTTTTCACTTCTGGAGCCAGGACACCCATCTTCTTCTGCCCTTCAACATCAGAACTTCAGATTATCTGATCTTCAGACCTTGGTACTTGCACTTGCAGCCTCCCCAGCTTCTCAGGCCTTCATTCTTTTTTTTTTTTTTTTAAGAGAGAGAGGGACAATTTTAATATTTATTTTTCTTAGTTTTCAGAGGACAAAACATGTTTGTTTGTATGTGGTGCTGAGGATCGAACTTGGGCCGCACGCATGCCAGGCGAGCGCGCTACCGCTTAAGCCACATCCCCAGCCCCAATCCTTCATTCTTGAACTAAGTTACATTATTAGCTCCCCTGTTTCTCAGGTGTTTGTACTGGGACTGAGCTATATCACAGACATCCCTGGTTCTACAGCTTGCAGACAGCATGTTGAGGGATTTCCCAGATTCCATAATAATTTCCTTCTTACATATCTATATCTTATTTGTTCTGTTTCTCTGGGGAACACTGATACAAGATTATCAGACTAAATGAGTTAGTGAGTGGACAGTACTTGGAGTTGTGCTAGGCACCTTGTAGCTGCCCCTTTGATGTGATTTCACCTCCTTACCCACTCCTTCAGCTGGTGGTTATATTAATATGTAGAAGGGGACTCATATGCTCTGGCTCATATAGCAGAATTATTTCCTGGAGAGTGGACAATCTTAGAGGTTGAGTGGACCTGCATTTTCTAACAGACATAACTATCATGTAAGCTGCTGTAGCCCAGGAAGACTCCAACAAAGGGGTAAACTGAACCTTCAAGTCTCATGATTTTTAAGAACCTGACCCAGAAGAAGTAGACTATGCTATCTTATGGAACAGGATCAAACTCAGACTCAGATGCAAATTCTGACTAACTATGAACACTTATGCTAGTTTCTTCATCTCCAGGACTGGAAGAATATATGCCTTCAATAAATGTTAGCTCCTCTTCTGTAGAAACAATTATTATGATTTCCCCTGGGGAAAAGTGCTATGTGTCTTCTACATAACATCATGTATATGCTATGTCCTCTATGCCATTCCATCATACTTTGTATCAGCAAAATGTTACCCAAGGAGACTACAGAATTCTATACAGTCTCATCGTTTTCTGGGTCCAGCCCAAGAAATGTCACAGGGAGACCTTAGGAAATTCATGCAATGAAGTTGAAACATTTTATTGATTACAATTTTATCCAGACCCGGGTTATTGTAGCAGATGACCTCCTAGGCGTCTCTTTTCACTTTGGTGAACACTGGGGCCAGGGATGGGGTGGGGAGTGAAGACTGGGGCTAAGAGGCAGTGCCCTTGGTGCAAGCAGGGACAGGGCCTGGGGGTTGTCATGGAGAGCACTGGTTTGGGCTCCAGAGGAGCCCAGATTCCAATGTGGGCTCTTGCCACTTCCTAGCTGTGTGACTTGGAGCCCATTGCTTAATCTTGCCACGCCAATTTTTCCTCTGTGGAATGGGGAGGATGGTAACACCCTCTTAGGGCAGTTGTGAGGACCCAAGGAGTGTCATTAAAGTTCTCAGCTGCAATGATTACTACTTTAACTGTGGTCCAAGCTGGTGCTGAGGCTGCCAGGTCCCGAGCATGCGCAAAAACACGGGGTGGGGCACACGGACCAAGGTGCTGCCTAGTACCTGGGTTTTAATCCTTTGGGGTTACGGGGTGGGAGGAGTGGATTCAGGGGCACGGGTATGGATAGAACGTCACAAGAATGGGTAGTACTGACCCGTCAGGTGCAGTGGGCGGGGTAAAGGGGAGGTGTGGTGAGCCCTTTCTGTGAACTGTGGCCGTCATTACAAGATGGCGCTGGTTTCTGCTGTAGTCTGTGACAAACAACTCCTTATCAGAATGAGTTGGCGCGCTGTGACTTGGCACCCTATGAGAAAAGTCCACGTGGCAGTTGTGCATTGGGGCTGGATGTGCTTTATCAAGGCTAGGGCGCTCGGGTGTGGGAGTAGTAGTAGTAGTAGTAGTAGAAGCTAGAAGACATGTCAAAATAAAGGCTTGAATAAACTGCTGAAGGAAGAATCCTGTGTCGCGTTTTCCTTTGCCGGCTGGGGGTCGCGGCAGGGAGGGACCAAGCTCTTCCTGGCCGGGTTTGCGCAATGGTGAGGGCGGAGTAGTGAGGGGAGGATCAAAGTCTCCGCGAGATCTCACCGGGCAGGTCATAGCGGCAGTGGAGGAGACAGCAGGAGAGGTGAGCGTCTGGCTGTGGGCGGCAGTGGCGGCCCTTGGGGGCTGAGGAGCGTAAGAGCGGCAGAGAATGAGGCCCCCTGCGAGGGGAGCGGGGCGAGTGGGTGGTCAGCGTCTTTGGAGGCAGTCCAGCACGCCCCATGGTTGCTGCGGCGCTGCCCTGTCCGCGCCATCCCAGACCGCGCGGGGTGGGGCGGCTTGGCCAGTCAGACCTCCCTTTCCGTGCAACTCCAGTCCCGCCTCAGTCTCCTAGGGTGCGGGGTTGGCACTGCTGGCCATGGCTGCTCCACTTTGCTGTGTGCCAGGCACTTAACTTGTGCACTTCCGTGCTTGGGCTGCACAGAGAAGTGCAGCACCCTGTCCAAAGTTGCACTGCTGGGATGTGGTGGGATGGGGTTTCCAACACCCACGCAGGTCTGTGCCCCTTTCTTGCCTCCGGTCCATGTCCCAGCAGTGCTTGCAGCTAGTTCCCTGGGGTCCTGGTGGGGCTGCAGATGGTGTGTAGGACCCACTCTGAAATTGAATGCAGCATGGTATGTGAGTTCATTGAGACAGACTTTTTCCAAGCCTTTTGTCTGATTCCTGGAAGGTCTTCCATCCTAAACTGTCATTGGTCCTGTGTGAGAGAGCAGAGGTGGGCTTAGAGTGACCTTTGTACGGCTAGGGGTGGGGTCACTAGCCCAAGGCTTGCCTCAGTAGAAAGTTCCATTCCCATTGAAGCACGTGATTCTAGCCTGGAACAGTTGATTGTCAACCACAGAAACAAGGCCCCTCTCTTTGGTGTTGAGCATTTGTAGAGCCCACTTCACTACTGAGCAGTGAAGTTTGTAAATAAGGTTTCACATAAGTGAAAGTGGGTATGATACTTTCACTTACATGTAAAAGAGAAATCAAGGGAGAACAATGTATGATATGCATTGCTCTCAGTTATAACCAGAACTTTCAGCTGTTGTGGAAGACAGCATGAGTTTGAGTGCTTGCACCTGCTGCTAATGAAGAAGTTTGAGTTGTTTTTTTTTTAAAAAAGTATTAGGATCTAGTTCAAATAAGAAAAGCAAAGAGGGAGATGAAGATGGAAACTAGGGAGAAAACACTTAGTGTTGGGATAACCTTATTTAAGCTAATAAAAAGGAGAGGCTAGATTGAAGTAGGGATGACATGCCAAGGTCAATTACAGGCTGCCTCAGTCTACCCACAGGTCATACTATGACCCTTCCATGGATCCCTTCTTTTCCCACCATGTCGCAGCATATCCTTTGTGTCTTGTGCTTTGAGGTACTGCTACTTGAAGAAACAGTAATGAATTCCTTTAGTTGCTAGTAATAACAGTAAAATGTTAACAAGATTGAAATTTTTGGATTCCTTAGGGTGAGATTAATGTGCCATCTCATACTGTTAGCATATATAGTAGTCTATGTATACTCATTATAATTTTAAATTTATGTTGAGTTAATGAGTCGTGTGAAGAAATGAGCACTAATTTTCAGACAGTTTCCTTATTCTGCTGAAGCATCCCTTACTACTTTGTCTTACATAAAGGCAAGCTGTGGGATTTCCTATAAAAACTTTAAATATTGTGTCTTAAAGAAATGCTCATTTAAAGTGGGCTTGATTAAACCATTTTAAGATCAAAATTCTTGTGACCAGGATGAATCTTGATGATACAGATTCATCCCACCCAAGCATTGTGTGAAGCCTAGATCCTGGCCCCCACACACTAGATGCCCCAGTGTGTCCCCCAAACTCTTTGATAACTATAAATTTTTCTTAAGGACATTTGTGCCTCTTTGAGAATACTATTAAGAACATGTCCATCATCTACTTAATTTTAACAAGAAAGGGGTGACAAACAACTTATTTTCTCGGAAAATTATTTTTTTTTTCTGAAGTATCTGACATATAACAAAGACATGGTCTTGGTTAGTGACACTTTTGTCAATTATTGTAGAATTTTGGGAGGCAAGGTTATTTCCTGTCACAAAATTTTGTCTATGTTTGATGGGAATTCACATTAGAAATGTTGACAACTAAACACTAGAATCATTGTAGCAGTTTGATGTGAGAAAAGAGTTGGGCAGTGACAGCAGTATGTAGGATAGCAGGTTTGAGTTGAGTAGAATATACATTCGTGTCATCACTTAGGGTCTGGGTTACTTACAGAGATTGGATTGAACCCTTAGGTGCTCTACCACTGAGTTACAGCCCTTTTTTCCCTTCTTGAACTGGGATCTCCTGAAGCTGTTGAAGCAGTCTCAAACTTGGGATCCTCCTGCTTCAGCCTTCCAAATTGTTGGGATTAGAAGCAAGCAGCACCATGCCCAGCTATAATCACTTTTAAAATAACCCTTTCTACTTACTGGTGTTCATATGAGCAAATTTGGAAAATGTAGATAGATGTACATATACCAGCCTTCATGGTATGACTCATTACAAATTATCTTTTCATTTGAAACACTGCTAGTTATGATAGAGAAAAATTAAAATAAAGTTTAGCTTAAACTAGCTACAGTGTAAAAAAAAATTTCTTCAACTTGTTTAAAAAGGATATTTATTTTGATTTTTAAAAAATCTTGTAAAGTGTTTGTTGCTTATTATTATTGAAAGGTGCTGTGGAAACAAACATGTAAGTAAAGACTTCTCAGAAGGGGATATATTTTCAATTGTCTAGAAATATATTGAATCTCTTTGACCTGAGAAGTCAGCCAAGTTGAAAATAATAAATAATTATTATTTTGAGCAAGTATAATATTCCAGAATGAAAGAGGTCAGTACTGTTAAAAATACTGCAATAAATCATTTCTTTTTTTTCACATTCACATGTTCCTAAGTAAACAAAATAAATAACGAATTACAAAGACATTGAAAATGTTCCAGTTTCTAAGCATAGAGGATATGTTTTCAATGGACAAAACATGCATGCCTTTTTGGAGTTTTACATTTGAGAGACATAAGAGTTAGCTAAGAGGAAAACAAATACTTTACCATACAATTCTGTGATTTATAATTGTTGCAGTAACTCACTCGAAGGACAGCATGAGAAAGAAAGAAGCAGAGGAAGCCAAGGAGCAGAAGAAAAAAAGTCCTTTATTGTATACAGCAATCTTGTATTGTGAACAAAGAAGGCAGCCTTCCAATAGCAATAAATCAGGTCTTTCAGCTAGTTAAACATAGCATATAGAAGTTTTACTTTCTGTTTAGAAGTGATCTGCTTCTCATGGCTAATCAACTCAGAGCATGCTGAGCTCTGCTCTTTGTTGAGAACAGATAATAAAATTTTTCTCAGCGCCCTCCTAGCTCACTTGGCAGAACATCCTGTTTGCGAGCAAGTCCTCCCAAGTGGGGGGGGGGGTGAGTACCAGGGATTGAACTCAGGGGCACAGAGCCACATCCCCAGTCCTATTTTATATTTTATTTAGAGACAAGGTCTCACTGAGTTGCTTAGTGCCTCACGGTTGCTGAGGCTGGCTTTGAATTTGAGATCCTCTTGTCTCAGCCTCCAGAGCTGCTGGGATTATAGGCGTGTGCCACTACATTTGACTTCTAAATCCTTCTGTCTAAACTAGAATTCTTTATTCAGAAGATTCCTATAGAGATCTTTCTCCTCATGTAAAACAAATGAAACACCAGTGTTCATAAATATGAGTACCTTTTTTTTTTTTTTTTGAAAAGTGTGTGACGGAAACAAACTTCTTTGTTCTTTTTCATGGAGAGCACATGGTGGGCAGTTAATGCATTTGAGGTTAAGTTGTTCAGAAAACACAAGCAGATTTTATGAAATATGGATTATTTTTGTTTCTTTCTCCTATTTCTGAAAGCTTGTAGGTCCACTTATACTTTTTTTTCAAGACATTCTTAAGTTGAATTTTGATGATTCATAGTTGTTATTGTTTTTACAAGAATGTATTTAAAAACATTTATTCTCTGTGTAAACAGTGTATGTGGGAAAGTAGCTCCATGATATATCTTGGCTAGGAAACCTGTAAAGGACTTTTTCTATTTGATACTGAGGACAGGTTTTATAGGAAACTCAACCATATGAAGTTTACATCCCCCCCCCCCCAAGGAGCAGAAGAAAACTTGCTTATCCAAGTGTGGTCCTAGGTCCTGGAGCTTGTTTGAAATGCAGATTGGTGCTATATGTGAATCTGTGGGAAGCACCAGACAAAATAGGTGACTCTCAGACTTGAGGGTATTACCAGGATTGCTGGACTAGTATAAAATTTCTGATTCAGTAGTCTGGGTGGGAGTCTGAGAATTTTAATTTTAACAAATTATCACATGATGCTGATGCTGCTGGTACAGGGGCCATACATGGAGAACCATTATACTAGAGTGTCCTCATTGTACATTTCTCTTCTCTTTCCTAATTTCTTACTCCTTCAAGTAGCTTTTAAAAAACAGATTATCATATCTTTTATCTTGATTGAAGGGGGAAAAAGCATATGTTTTTTTGCAATAACCACATCAAGATTGCTTTTCAGCATCTAATTTCAGAGCAAAAAAAAAATCTATTTAAAGCTTGTTTTAAAGTCTTATCTATAGATTTCTATTTCTCTCCTTTCTGTAAGTATTCTTTTTAATGTTTAAAAAAATTTTTAATGTAGATAACATGTTCTTATGGTTCAAAAGTTAAATGACACAGGCATGTTTGGGAAAATCTGATTTCCAACTGCTTTGGTCCCCCCTTCACCCCTCTTTCTTAGATAACCTCCTTTAATTTATTTCCCATAGATGTCAATTGTTTCCTTTTATAGTAGGAGAAATGCCAGTGTACTGTATTCTTTTAAAATGTAGCATAATATGTAACTAATTCTGTCCCATGGCTTTTTCTTTATATGCTCTTAAGATCTTTTCCTACTAGTATTTATTTAGAAAGAATATAATATTTGTTTATAGAAACCACTTTAAAAAAAACCAGCTGTATTCAAACAGCATCTATTAAGTTCATTGTTTACTTAATCAGCCCCCCTGGTGAGTATTTGGGTCTTCTCTAGGTTAATCACAGACCATACTGTGGTGAAACAGCTTGTATACATATTATTTTACATAGCAGGTACATCAGTGGGATATATTCCTAGAAGTGGGATCGCTGCACCACTGGGTAGTGCATTTTTTTAAATTTTGTTAAATACTTCCTTTCTTAAGTGTTGCACCATTTTAAACTCCCACAAGTACAGTTGGTCCTCCTTATCCATGGAGGATTCGTTTGAGGACCCCTTTGTGAATACTAAAATTCAAGGATGCTTGAGTCTATTATATGAAAAGCATAGTATTTGCATATAATCTATGCATATCCTCTGCATACTTTTAAATCATCTTTAAATTGCTTAGAAGATCTAATACAATATTAATGCCATGTAAATAGTTGCTACACTGTATTGTTTAGGGACTCATGACAAGGAAAAAAGTTGTTATGTGTTCAGTATGACAATTTTTAAAAAAATATTTTCACCTATAATTGTCGAGTCCAGTCTGAATACCACAGATACAAGAGGGGGTAGATTGCAATGTATGAGAGTTCCTATATTTCTGAGGCCTTTCCAATGTACTGTGTGTTTACAAACCTTGAATTTGTTAACAGTTTGATAGATGAGAATTATCAATATAGAGTAGTTTTAATGTACATTGCTATCATCATTAATGAGGCTAAGCTCTTATGCTTAAAAACTAGTTGTATTTCTTTTCCTGTTCATGTGTTTGTTCACATTTTTGTTTTGAAATGCTTTTTCCCCTTATCAATTTCTAGAAATTTATAAATTGTAGAGATTATCTCTGTGTGATATAAATTGTGTAGTTTTTTCCCAGATTTTCACTTATTTTTTATTTACCTTCACATATTTTGATATACAGAAGTCTTACATTTTTTTCTTTGAATTTTACAGTTTATATTACTCATTATGGTATCTTGATTTTTTTAAAAAAATATTTCTTTATTTCTATGTGGTGCTGAGGATTAAACCCAATGCCTCACAAGTGCTAGGCAAGTGCTCTACCACTGAGCTACAGCCCCAGCCCAGGTATCTGGATTTTAAGTCACTGAAAGGCCTTCAAGATTTTTAGAACTTGCCCATGGTTTCTTTTAGTACTTTTATGGTATCACTTTTACATTTAAATGTTCAAACTAGGATTTATTCTGGTGTTCAGAATGATGCATAGGTTCAGCTTTCTTTTTCTGTGTCCCTGTTATTTTCACCTGTTGGTTTTAGAGCCCTTCTTTGAATACTCTTATGGTATTGTTAACTTTTGGATATATTGGGGTGTCTCGGGGGTTTGTATTCTATTAGTCTTTTTCTTCATATATCAGTATCACAGTATTGGTTTTATAAAAGTTTTAACATCTTTTAAAACTAGTTTCCCCTTGTTGCTTTTCATATTCCTGGGAATTCTTGCTTGCTTATTTTTCCATGAGTACTTTTGAACTGTTTTCTAGTTCCAGAAAAACAAAAAACTAAAATAAATAAACATCAGATTAAATATATACATTTAAAATCTATTTAACTTCCCCAAACTTTTTTTTATTTTTTCAGGTTCTTAATAAAGGTGCTAGGAAAGAATGTAAAACAGGAAAATAATTAAATATTTTCACTGTGGTAAGTGTTTTATGATTTTACATTTTAAAAATTCTTTAATTATTATTATTTTTTAGTTCTGCTTCCTTAAGTTGTAAAAGGGATATTGTTTTAGGAGCATTTGACTTCATAGAACCTGTGGTTGGTAAGGTGGATGCCAATAATGTGGGCTGTTTGAATAATGACGTTTGTCTTTCCCTATCTCTTTGACTCTAATATTTTAATTTCTATTATCTTGTCATTATAAAGTATGGTTCTGAGAAGGAGATCCTGTATTACATCTACTTGCAACATTCAATGAATTCTTTCCTCTTAAATAGGAAGTTGAAAAGATTTGAAGTAATTTTGGTGATATAGAGGCATTTCTTTATCTTAAAAGTTTGTTGTGATTTTTTATTTTACTAATTAGAAAAATTTTTACCCATATAAAACAACATAATGACAAAAGTCAGCCCTCAACTCCTGCACAAAGAAATAGCCACCATTAACTCACTTTTGGAAACTTATTGATGGATATGAAAGTATATAGAAGACTTTAAATAAACAGCAGTTTTTCTCTATATGAAGCTATGTGGTCATTTTTAATGTGTTTTATGTATCTCTATTTGTGAGTTGAAACTGATGTGCATAATCATGGGTGATCATTTTACTGGCTGCCTAGTTTGTTTTTTTAATTATTTTTTTAGTTGTCAATAGATCTTTATTTTATATATTCGGTGCTGAGAATCAAACCCTGTTCTTCACAGGTGCCAGGCAAGTGCTGTACCACTGAGCTACAATCCCAGCCCTTGCTGCCTAGTTTTCCATCATTTAGAGGCATCATACTTTATCTAGCTACTCCTTTGATAACTATTTAGATTGTTACTTGTTTTTCTTTCTTGTGAATAATGGTATGTTGATAATAGTATACTTATTCATTTATCTTCTTAGAGGTATAACTGCCAGGTCAAACATTATATATATTTTAAATATTAATAAATATGGCTGAGCTGTTATCTGAAAAAACTATACCCTTCAATGTCCATGAGAATCCTGTTTTCAAAACCCTTGCTCACAACAAGTTTTCTTAATCTTTTTAATCTTTGCTAATCCAATATAGGAAAAAAAGTACATTTTTGAGATAACATGTTTTTTACTGGTACTGGGGATTGAACCCAGGGGCACTTCCCCAGTAAATTAGATCCCCAGGACCTTTTATTTTTATTTTTTATTTTTATTTTTTTTATTTTGAGACAGGGCCTCACTAAGTTGCTGAGGCTGTCCTTGAACATGTGATCCTCTTGCCTCAGTCTCCTGAGTTGCTGGGATTACAGGTGTGTTCCACTGTACTGAACTATTGAAGGAAATCTTGTGTTATTCAAAGATTTCTTTCATTCAGTATTCTTATTAACATAAAGAATTCTCTTCTTAAGGACATACTTGTGATTCTTATATGTCAGATATTCTTAGGCTTAAATGTGATGAAAATATTTAAATAATAATATTGAGTTGTTTTTAGGTCTTTTGCCTTGATTTTAACTCAATATTTGAAAACTTAAGGGTTGGGGATGTGGCTCAAGTGGTAGGAGGCTAGCCTGGCATGTATGAGACACTGGATTCAATCCTCAGCACTTCATAAAAATAAAATAAAGATATTGTGTCCACCTAAAAAGTAAATATTAAAAAATATATATTTAAAACTTGATCAACTAGCTATAATTGTTTTGAATACAGAATGTTTTCCTCTGCAAAGAGCAGTACTTTTGTGTTTTATTCACCTGAAGGGAAGCCTAAAATAACTTTCAAAATAATTTTTTTAACAATTTTCAAACATGGATACCAATGGCTGAATAGCATACAGAATATTATTTCCATAATTGGTTGATAATATAGTGCTTTTGAGTTATGTAAACTATGTGATTGTGTGTTCATGTGTAAACCTATGTGTATTTCTTCTGTCCAAAAGATTTTATCACTTCCTGATGTAAATATGATTTTTAATTTTATGTTTGCTTTAGGTTTTATTTCAATCAAATAAGAGTTACATATAAGGATGGCCTCACATGAAGCAGATTCACAACTTTGTCATTTACCTACTGTTTATTCTTTGGCTTAATAAGAAAACATTAAACTGTCTTCCCTGTATAAAGTACATCTAGATTGCTTTTCCTAAGGGGGCTATTGTTTTCACTTCAATTAACATTGTTTACTGAATACCCCAAGGTTGGGACCTTATGGTCCAACTGGTGATTTATTCACTAGTTTTTATTTAGCACTGAATACCTACCTACCTGGTAGGCATCCACAGGTGCCAGGCAAGTGCTCTACCACCCAAATCATTATTTACTTATTTGTTTAATTTTTTTGGTACTGGGGATTCAATCTAGGGGAACTTTACCACTGAAACACATCCCCGGCTCTTTTTTTATTTTATTTTTATTTTATTTTTATTTTGAGACAGGGTCTTGCTAAGTTGCTTAGGGCCTCACTAAGTTCCTAAGGCTGGCCATGAACTTAGGATCCTCCTGCCTCAGCCTCAATCTCCCAATGGTTGATGTGTATTGTCATTATTAGGTTAAAGATGTGAAAGAGAATAGCCATACATTTTAATTTAGAGAAGAGTAACATGATTTCATTTAAATTTAGATGTGCATAACTGTATGGCACTTGCTAGTATTTCATTTGATGGAACTTTGTTTCAAATTTTGATTTGGACTATATTCTGCTTACTTTTTAGAATCACATAAGCCCTGTAGTTTAAATCTTTTTTTTTTTTTTTTCATTATGGGCAGAGTAAGTATTTAAACTAGGTATGCTGCTAGATCTTGTTTAAAATCTGTTAATGTTTCCCAGTATAGACATGGCAATATTTTTCACAATATGATGTTTAAAAATAAGGATAAAGGGGCTAGGGATGTGGCTCAAGTGGTAGTGGGCTCACCTGGCCTGTGTGTGGCCCCGGTTGGATCCTCAGCACCATTCTCATTCATATTCTCTCTCTC